GTATTCCAAACATTGCCTACCCTCCCATTCCACCCCTACCCTGCCCCAACTGACTAAGATTAATTTCTGTAGCATTTTGAGATATTATATATTTGCTCAAGATCATTCTTCCTCTAGCATGGTAACATTTATCATTATTCTTTACAACATTTTCAAATGTTTTATGAAATTTTTATGTTGTTTTAAACTTGCTTTAAAATTCATTCAACAATTTTTGTTCAACAAATTTTAACCATAAAGGCCATTATGGATCATGCATATATTATATTGAGCCATAGGAAATGGCTGAAATTTAAATCATTTAAAAAATCTTTTTATTTTGAAATAATTTTAAACTCACACATACTTGCAAAAATAGTAGAGAGGTCTATGCATTCCTCTGACTTGCCCCAATGGTACCATCTCACATTACTACAATACATTGTCAAAACCAAGAAATTGACACAACTAGCTAGTCTACAATTCCTACTTGCATTCCACCCATTTTTATAGGTATTCATTCTTTAAAACAAACGAACAAACAAACAAACCATTTAACTTTACAGAAACTATGTATCTACTATATAGAGACTAGAGGCCTGGTGCAAGGATTGGTGCACGAGTGGGGTCCCTTGGCCTGGCCTGCGGGGATCAGGCCAAAGCCAGCTCTCTGACAACCCCCGAGGGGTTCTGGATTGGGAGAGGGTGATTCTTGGGTGATTCACCCCAGAATTGGGCTCCCTCCTCTCTGGTTCTGGGTGCATCACCTGACAATTGCAGCTGCCAAGTCACAGCAGCTCAGCAGCTCAGCAGCTCTGGTGTTGAGTGTCTGCCCCCTGGTGGTCAGTGCACATCATAGCTACCAGTCAGACAGTCAAATGGTTGGCTGGTGGCTTAGGCGTACATCTTTGCATGTCAGTACTCTTGGACTAGGGAGGTGGTTTTGCTAACGGGACCACCCAAACCGTCTTTGACTGTGGGTTAATGGGTTCCTAACACCTATCTTCAAAGTTTCGCTTAGAAGGTCACTGTGGTACTGCTTCAGAGAAATGACACGAGAGTTAGCTCGTGACTCAGGCATCTTAGAGAGTTTCCAGTGATTAACTTATGATACATGGGATATTTTACAGTTAAGATTTTTACATTTGAAAAAGATTTCAAAATTATGCAAAAGTAGTAATAAGAAAAAAGTGTAATTGACTATAACATTTGCAACTTAAAGTAGATGCATTTAGTCTGTTAGTATTACTTTTTAGTTTTGAGTTTAATGCCCCTTCTTCCATCTTTAACGCCAGCAATGTAGCATCTTCAAATCTCTCTCTCTCTGACCTCTTCTTCCATCATCTTGTCCCTGACTTTGACATTTTTGCCTACCTCTTAGAAGGGTCTTGGTGAATACATCGGGCTCAGTAGCTAGTCCAGGATAAATCTTTCCATCTGAAGATCTTTGGCTTAATCACATTGCAAAGTCTCTTTTGCCATGTAAGGAAACATATTCACAAATTCTGATGATTATGTTGTAGACACCTTAAGGTGTCATTACTCTGCCTACCATGGTCTCCCAACTGTTTGAGAGACAAATGACTCATTTTTCTTTAGACCAGATTAATAATGTATCCTGATTAGAAAAAAAATTTATTGATAATTTGTTTACACACATCCATATTCATATATATGTTTTAAAATATATTCATCCAAAATAAATGTTGAAAGCATGGAATTTAAGTTCATGTAAATAGATACTCTCATTTCCCCCATACCCAGTGGATGGCCTTGCACCAACATGGTAAGCACCAAGCCCTCTTTGGAGACCACTGTTCTGGATCATCCTTTTTCTAGATTCCATGCAAATCATTATACTGCACATTCCTTCTTGCATCCTTGCTGCATACCATGCTTTGTGCTTGGTACAATTGTGCTTCAGCTCCTATATAATGAGGTCCTCAAGAACACAGGTTTTAATGTCAGTCATACAGGCTCAAGTCCCAGCTCCTCCACCTGCAACCTGTGTGACCTTGATCAAGTTGCTCAACCCTCTGAGGCTCAGTGTTTTCACGGGCAGTATGAGATAGTGCCTACCCATAGGGCTACTCCTGAAGATTATATGTTCATTGGACTATTAGTAACAATATGACAATTAGATGGCATTCTTCTGAGTTTAATTCTATGCCCTTCAATAGGTTTTAGTCTTCTTACCTGTGCTCAGCACCTATTTCCTGACTCCTTCTTAGGCTGGTTATTCCCAATTGAAGATTCCTCTCATCTTTTGTCAATTTCCTTTCATTTTCTATTAGTTTCCCAAGCTACAGTAGCCAAGTAGCACAAACCAGGTGGCTTAAAACAAAAGAAACTTATTGTCTCACAGTTCTAGAGGCTAGGAGCCTGAAACCCAGATGTCAGCAGGGCCCTGCTCTCTCTAAAAGCTTAAGAGGCTGACCTTTCCCCTCCTCTCCCAGCCTTTGCTGACCCCTGGAACTCTTTGGTTATGGCAGCATCACTCCAACCTCTGCCTTCATCCTCACATGGTCTTCTCTGTGCCTCTCTCTGCCTCCTCTTCTCTTCTTATAAGGTCACCAGCCATTGGATTCAGGGCCTATCCTAAGTCTAGGATGACTTCATCTAAAGAAGATCCTCAACTAATTACAGCTGCAAAACCCTATTTCTAAATAAGGTCACAACCTGAGCGATACTAAAGACATAATTTGGGGCAGGGTGAACAATATTCAAACCACTACAATTCCTCTCTCACAGAATTGTTTTTCTTACAAGTTTTAGGAGGCTCCTGCCTTTTCCTGACGGTGTTTGTGTCAGAGTTCAGGGCCTTGAGAATGTGGGGCCAGGAGAGCACAGACGACAGACACGAAAAACAATGGTCTTGACTTTGTCTAACCCACATCCCGAGCCCTTCATGTCACTACTCTTCACAAGGAAGAAGAATCACTGATTTGTGTTTCTTGTTGCTAGTTTGTATACAACACTTTGGCCCGTGTACTGCTTCCCACTGGGGCTTTTGGCATTTTTTGAAGGAAAAAGTGCTCTTTGGTTATCATTCCACAGAGTATGTGTTTGCTAGATGCCTCCTCCATTAGATGACTCCAATTTAAAATACAGATTAGCCCTGACAAAACTGACCCAGGCTGGCTTTTCTCTGTGATGGTTTCAATTTCAGGCTTATCTATCACAAATGATTGTAGTCTAACAGGATTCTGACAGAAAATGGGTAGGAGTTTTGAATTCTTACCTGCAGTTTCCAGCTCCAGGGGATAATAGCAGAGAGTAAAACAACAATAACTGAGTTGTAGAGTATAAAACATGCCGACTTCTTTCTCGGAGTTCTGTGCTCCGAGATGTTTAGCGAGTCACTCTCCCTGTCCATAAGCTCTCCTATAGCAAATTATGAGCCTTATGAAACCAGTCACATTTCTCCTTTTGTCTTGCGTGCGAGGAAGCTTGGGGGAAATGATGCTCAGTTGGAGTAATTATTAGCCTAGGTATTTATTCCAGTCAGGTCTGTCTTGTGTGGCATTACATTCTGTTCCTATCAGAAGATTGTACTGCACAATGATTTTGCATCTTTTCTGGACATTTTCTCCTGCCCTGCCTTCTAATGACCTTGCTTTTCTGCCCATTTCTTCACTTCCTCTACCCAACTGTTAAGCACAGGGTTTCCCAGGACACTTGTTCTTCTCTTTCTGGACATGCAACCCTTGGATTTCTTATGCACTTTGAAAATTTGAATGGCTCCCCAGATACTGATGACACTCAGAACAGTATCTCCTGCTCAACTTTGATTTAGATTCAAATCCATTTATTGAGCACCAAGTATGTGTCAGGAAGTGTTGGGGTTCCCTTGCTGAGCAGGCAGAGGGGGACCCTGTCCAAATGGAGCTTAATTCTAATAGCTCTCACTGAACTATGATGTTGGCCTTTGTGCTTCTCCCTCTGCCCACCCTCTCCAGCTGCCTGTCCATACTCCATCATTCTTACTCTTGAAATGTTAGGCTTAAATAACCTTCTTTAATGTACTGTAAGTTTTGTGAGAGTAGGGCCATACCATAGTCATCTCAGCATTCTTAGTGCCTGTAACAGTGCTTAGCACTTAGTTGGATTCTCAGTATATTTTCCTTGTTGAACTCGAAGATCAGTTATATATAAACTAGAAGCCTGATGCACAAAGATTCATGCCAGAATGGGCCTTCTTTTTCCTGGCTGCCAGCACTGCCTTTGCTCTGGCTGGAGCCACCTTTCCACCTTCTCATGCTGCTCAGAGGCCTGGAGTAGCTGTCCGCCCTGCCCTCAGATGCTGGGTGCCCGTATATGCAAATTAACCCACCATCTTTGTTGGGTTAATTTGCATACTCCTGATTGGCTGTGGGTGTCTCGAAGGAATGGTCAATTAGCATGTTACTCTTTTATTAGGTAGATGACTCCACATCTCAGCTAAAACTTCACATGCTCAAGGACACTTTTCTTGACCCTCCAAACAGGTCAGCCATCCTCATGGTATGGACCTATGATCTTATATTAATTCTTCCAGAATTTTGCATAATTATAACGGTTCTTCAACTGTTCACATTATTTGTTTAAATTCAGTCTTCTGTACTAAGTTGTAAATTCATTAACAAGGTCAATGGTACAGCTATCATAAGTATTTGGCCTATAATAAATAGTCAATAAATATATGTTAACTGATAGAGTGACAAATTTTCTTCTTGGATAAAAATCTTCCCATTGTTGGGGCCTAAAAGAAACTTAGACCTGATAGCCTGCTGGCCTAATGCCTCATTCTACCTATCTATAAAATGGGGATGTTCCTCTGGGGTAATGTTGGGTAGAATATGAGCTTTAGATAAAACCATATCAAATGTTCATAAATAAATTGTATCACAGAAGATGATATTAAAAGATTAAACACATCAATTGAAATTCCAGCTCAGCTTTGAAAACCTATTTCAAAATGTGATTTTTTTTTCATTGTCCCAAAGGAAAAACAGTCATTTCCTCTCCTTTTTTCTACCCAGCCACTGAGACGACAATTCTTATGGAAAATGAAGTTGAAAGAGAAAAGGTAAACATTTTTGTGAAGTACTTGAAGTATGTGACTTAGGTTTTTAAAATCTACATCAGGGGTTTGCAGGAATAGATAAGGGAGAGAAACTATATTGAAGCTGCAAAATGAATCATGAATGCTATGAAATAGCAAAGGAATTTGTAGAGTTGTACTCTCAGCAGAAATAACAAATATTATGACTTCTATATGCTCAGATGCTGTGAAAAATAAAAAATTAAAAATAAAAGTACTTGGGAAATCATTGTTGTTCCTTCCAATTGGCCCGAGATTAGTGACACCCTACAGAATTGTCACCTGCCACCATTTTTTTCCCAAATGAAAAAATATAAGTGACGAAAGTGGCAGTGCTTTACATTCACAAATCTCAATATGTGGCTTGACAGAAGACAGAGATTCTCGTATCTGTGTAGATTCTAATTTCTCTATATCACCATACCCCATGTAACCTCTGGGAATCTCCACTGTACAGCTTAGTAGAGAAGGACAATAAAAATGGCCAGTAATGTCTCATGAACATCATTTTTATCTCATGGGTTTCCTGGCCTACACTTTGAGAAACACTGCTGTAGGAAATGTGACATTGAGTTCCATTTTTCTCTTTGATATTATTGCCTATAGAAATCTGAGTCAGCCATGAGAAGGACTGCACAGGGATAGGGAGAACTTAAAGGATTCAGGCAATGCCCTGCCTGGTGATTTGACAGTGAACACAGTGCACAGCACTATTATTATTATTATTATTATTATTAATTACCTTCAGACCACAGGGCCCCACAGAACATATCTGGTCAATGTTTTGGGTTTTCAGAAAGTAAAGAAAAAATTGTTTTAATATGTTGTGTTGATTTCAGAGAGAGGAAGGGAAAGGGAAAGATATAAATATCTATTGGCTGCCTCCTGGACATTCCCTACTGGGGATCAAACACACAACCACAACACAAACATGCTTCTTGACAATGTATCAAACTGGTGACCTTCTGTTGCATGAGTTGATGCCCAACCACTGAGCATACCAGCCGGGCTAAAAAATATTTTTCTTTTATTTGTAAGGCTGGCTTTGTTTTGATCATGAGACACATGGGGCAAAAGGTGGTGAGATGCAGTGAAGCTCTGGCTGTTGAAGGGTGTGGTTGGAGCTGGAAACTCATGCGAGTGCAAACATTCAGAAACAAATGGCCCAATTATCTTCCCTGTGTCTCACCAGTTGAGTGGGGTGGACGGCTCCTTCCTTGCGAAGATCATTGCTCCCTCCCTTGGATTTGTGCTGTGTGCATTGATTGTAGCGCTTCTACTTCGAGGTAAGGATGGATGAAGCCCTTTAGAGATATGGAGACATTAAGAGGACATGGGAGTAGATCGATGCTGCTTCCTGCTCCTTTTCTCAATTTCCCAGAGTCCCTTTCTGTCATTGTCTCCATCCTGGTCAAGGAGGTGATGGGTAAAGCCATTCTCCTCAGGATGCTAAAGGCTTTGTGTATCATCTTCCTGATAGAGTTCTATTTTTGGGGAAATAAGAGAGCACCTTCACTTATTGGACACTTACTCTGTGTCAGTCCTGACTAGTCTCTTTTGTTGTTTTTTTAATCCTCACCCTAGGATATTTTTCCATTGATTTTAGGGAGAGTGTAAGATAGAGGGAAAGACAGAGAGAAAAATCAATGTGAGAGAAACACATCAATCTGTTGCCTCCATGCACAAGCCCAATGAGAGCCCTGGGAGGAGTCTGCATCCCTAGATTCTTCAAGTGCCTAACACATCCCGGGCTCATGAGTGCTTTAAGTGGAAAGTTCTCTTATTATCAGTGTCTTGGGAGGAATCCCTGACCCAGTCTCTGCTTCTGGCTAGGATTGTCCCAGAAAGAAAGTCACAAATGATCCCTAGTCTTCTTATTTGTTCCCTTTAAGCAAGCTTTCTTAATCTGGGTCCCATAGATAGAACTTAGGGGACAAGTGAGTCCCTTGAAATCATATACAAAAGTGCTTGTACATTCTTATTTGCATTTTTCAAGGGGAAGGGCCCATAGCTGTTATTTAAATTCTCCAGCTGGTCCATGACCGTGCCCCCACCTCCCACTTAAAAAAAAAAAAAAAAGAGCTTTAAGACCCTACAGAAAGGAGTCATGAAATAGGTTTATAGTTTTCATGCAAAGGATAGGCATGTGGCACCTGGTCCTGCTATAAAATGGGGGGGGTGGGGGGGGGGAATTGTTCTCTAGTCATTAACAGGAACTGTTTCAAGGTAGCAAGTGAGGAGATAAGACTAGTATACATCTCAGCCTGTTTGAGCAACACAAGGGACACTTGTGTATTTTGAAACCTGCCCCGTAGTGAACACTGGCAAAGGAAATTTACAGAGGCATGTCACAGTTTTGGATATTCTGGGTAAGTCTCATGAGGAAGTATTTTAAAACCCAAATGAGTACTTGCATTGTGGGTTGGCAAATGACTCAGTGGTGAAGCAGCTTAACACCATTGCCCACAAGTTGGAATAACTTTGTAGGTGATGAGCACTGCCAAGGGGCCTAATGAAGCAGTCATTTAATCCAGGAAAAGAAATGACTTTCCAGTCTCCAAATTGTCACCTTTACACTATTTCTGCTTTTTTAAAATTTTTTTATTTATTTTATTTTATTTTATTTTATTTTATTTTATTTTATTTTATTTTATTTATTTACTTATTTTTTTTAAGATAGTAGCACAGCACTCCGCTTATACTATGGCTTTGTCTTTCCAGGAAAAGTCATGAAAATCAATTGCTTCCAGAAACACATAAGGTAATTCATCTTGCATGACTGATCATTGTAATGATAGAACAAGGTGTTACAAATGATTAGATACTACTCAGTGGTTTAATGATTTATGCTTGTATTCTGATTAAATACAGGGTTGGAGAGATGTGACATTAGAGGTGAAAAGGAGGTGGGACTTTAGCTCACATTTTCCTCTGCCTTGGTTAACACTGTTACATTGTCCAACATGCAACTGCAAAGGCAGGTTGCATTAATAGAAGTATGGCATGCAAAAGAAAGAAGGCGATATATCACTCTATTCTCTGCTAGAAGTTCTTTGTTCAACTCTGGGCAACTCACTTTAAAAGGATGTTGTAAAACCGGAGTTCATGGAGAGGAGAGTGGGCAGAATGAAAAGTGAAAAAACACCGAATATCATTCCTGGGATATGGCTTCTTCTGCCCAATTACTAGTACACCTTGGAATCCATGGGAGCAAGTATTTTTGTTTGTTTGTTTGTGTTTAGTCATTTCAAGAGTCTCTAAAAAGGGATTTTGAATATTTGTCCTGTTCTACAACTTTCTGGAAAAGGAATAAAAAGATTTAATATAAACTGTGATGAAAACCTTGTCTTCACTTAATAATTCTACAATTATCACAATATCTGTTAGCAAATAAATACTAGGAAGTAGGGAAACTGAGGCTCAGTAAGGTGACCTTCTAAGGTCACAGTTGTAGATTTTGTGTGTGTAAGTAAATGTCTTTAGGTTGTGATCTATATTTTCTAATATAGAAACTTCTAACTTCCTATTAAAATAGATTGACAAAAACCCTTTATCCCATAGGGCCTCAGTTTGGCCATCTGTGACATGAAAGAGTTGGACTGGATAGGTTCTGAGCCCTTTTAACTCTGACAGCCTCAGTTTGTTGTGTTGTAATTTATCCATTTATTCCTGGTCTTGGGGGTTTGTATGAACAGCCTCTTTTCTCTCTGTAGGCTACACAATGTTGGAGAAAGTAAAAACGGCCTCGATGACCTACAGCATGGGAGAGAAGATGAAGATGGTCTTTTCACACTATAACGTGCCAATTTTTTTTTTTTTTTTTTTTTTTTTTTTTTTTTTTTTTTTTTTTTTTAGAATGGAGGACAGGGATAGGATGTGTGAATTGTCAAATCAGTCTTAGAATGTCTATTTGTTTGCTTTTAAAACCCCATCTATTCCTTTGGTGTCATTGAGCCAGTCTTGGTTTAGTTTCACAAGTGGAAGGCACCTGAGATGCTTCATCTCCTTCCCAGCATCACTGCTAAGTGATCTTGCTCACTATGCTTGAATACATTCAGTGATGATGAGCTCACTGCCACACTCAGGGAGCCCATGCAATCTCAGAACAGTTCTGCCTCCAGATAACATCTGCCTGTCAGTCCTCATTGAACTCATGGTGCTCACACAGACCACGTCTAATATCTCCTTTATGTGGTAGTGCTCCAGGTACACCAAACCTATGTCTCTGGAAATTACCTTGTTTCTGGAATGTGATTTCTGAATCCTCCCCTCCTGTAGTTGACTTCACTGTGGATGCATTTGCATATCAGCTTCCAGTGCCCCACTCCAGGAATAGTGTGAGCAGCCCTGGGGTCTCTGCTTCATCAATAATGCAGGAACTGATGTCATCTCCAAAACTCCTTGGTTTTCTATTATTTTCTGTTCACATTTGAGTGTCTTTAGGGATGCCCATGGTGTCACATCTTAATTCTTGCTTGGGGAATTCAATTTTGGGAACAATCAAGAGTCCACCAGAGCAAAATGCAGTAAGTGACGAGGACATTCAACCAGGGCCAACGCATGATCTGACTGTAAGGCAACCCAGATTAAACACAGTTCGTGGAAATGTGTTCCTCAGTAGAAACAGATTTATTTTAAAACTTCCATAACTGCGACATGAAGGACCCAAGGAGAGAGGTGAAAGCAAATGGCTGTTGAATGAATGAATGAATGAGTGAATGGAAAGAATGTGTATCTGAATGAGGGAGACCTCTGGTGGGGCAGAAATGTGGGAAGTCACCAGAACTGGAAGGAATTTCCCTGGCACACTGCCTGGTATGTTTAGGGCAATCACAAAAATAATACAATAAGCACACAGCCTTCCAAGGAAGCCACCTTTCCTATGTCTACTCTTTTGACATTACTTTTAAGAGAGGAAAAAAAAAAAAAATCAGTTTCAATTCTGCCCTGATACAGCCTGTAGATTCCTCGCAAGGATCCAGCAGCCCCAATGGGCAGGCATATCATTCTTGCTTTGGGAGCTGAGAAAACAGAAGCAGAGATAGATAAAGGCACTTGCCTGAGGTCACATAAGTCCAGCCCCCAGGAACAGAACTGAGGCTTGGCAGGCAGGAAGGACCCCACACACTGAGGGCTGGAAGGAAAGACATGATGCCTGCAGAGGGCGGCATTGACCTGCGTGGTCCCAAATAGATGTTCCTTTACTCAAATCCTGAGCAGCCCCAGCATTTTGACAGTTCTCCAATTCCCCACCCCTTTATAGTTCAATCTTCCCTGGTCCGAAACTTATTTACTCAGAATCTCATTTGCATTTGCAGAGGAAGTGGCAAGTGGAGAACCTGGCAGGAGCCTTAATGAAGCCAGGTGGGACACATTGAAACGGGAATGTGTTGAACTAACTCACTGAGAGCTGAGGCCAGCTGTCAGCAGGCTTAATGAAAGGTTAACAGGAATGCGGCAATGGGTGGCTGGGGAGGCTCACTGTCTCTCTAAAGAAACAAAGAGTTGAGAAGTAGGCTCCCCAGGTGGAGGCAAGAGCAGAAGGAGGAAGCCACTGAGTCTGAAATAGAGTTTCATTTAGATTTGTAAACAAGTTACAGTCTTAAAAAGAAAGAAAGGAAGAACGAAAAGAAGAGCGCTATGGGTTCTCAGCTCTCTGAGATTCAAAGGACCAGGAGGGGACTTGTTCTGGAATGAGGCAAATGCTAATGCCATTAGGAAGGCACTTGGGGAGACTGGAGCCGACAGCTCACACAACATGGTGGTTTCACTTTCTGAGCTGAAAAGGTGGTGCCTTCCTGGGCTTTATCCGTGTAGTATATGGAGTGGGGGGACCTGGGAGCAGGAAAGACATCTTTCATTTTGTTTAGCTGGTGAAACTGAGGGCCAAATAGGGGGAATGAGTTACCCCCCCCACCCCACCCTGGGGCAAGGAAACAGTGCCAGAGTACCCTAGACTTCGCTCTGCAGCCAGGTGATAGACTTGTTCTTGGATTTTCCTAAGTCCACCAGGCTATGCCCGATTATTTTCCCTCCCAAGGTCATATCCAGTAGGTTCCTGTTGGTACATGCAACTCAGCATTTTTTTTCCTTGAATCATCTTTGCCAGCACATCCTTGACCCCATGATGGACTGCCACTCCCAGAAAGAGGAATTGGAATGAGGAAGTTCAAAGCTTGGCTGTTCTGTTGCTTTTTAAAAAACCACCATAATTAGGGTGACCACTTGTCCTAGGTTGAAACCTCAAAGTTCCTCTCACATTTGGGGACTCCCTCAGTCCTCAGCCAGCTGGGATGGTTGGTCAATGTAAGTCCACAGCTAACCTAGATCAAAAGCAGCAGCCCTCTGGTTCTTGGATTCACAGCCCCTGCTCTGGACTCTATCGCAGTGATCATTGTGTGTGTGTGTGTGTGTGTGTGTGTGTGTGGCTTTGCAGTTGGACTCAAGTAGAGTTTAATTCATTCAGATCCATCATTAGAATAAATTGATACATCTAGATTCCAGATCCTGGCTATTCAAAATGTGGGGCTCTAAGAAGGGACTTGTTAGAAATGCATATCAGTCCCTACCATAGTCCCTCAGAATCTGCATTTCAACAAGGTCTCTCTGTGATTCACCTGCACATTACAGATTGGGAAGTAAAGCATTGATGTTCAAACTTAGCTGCACATTGGAGTCATGTGGCAAGTTGTAAACTACTCATGCTTGACTCCCCTCTGAGGTCCCGATTTATTTGGTGTGGGGGAGACCTAGGTATTAGGCATTCTTTTATAGCACCTCAGGTAATTCAAATGTGCCGCAATGTTTGTAAACCACTTCTTAAGGGAGGGTAGCTTTGAGCCAGAAAGTAATGTTGCTATTAATCAGGATAATTCTTGGCCTAAGATACAAGTTTATGTGGGTCTAGTACCCCCCTGCATGATTTTGCTCAAAGAAATGACCAATAAAATTGCTCAAGAAGATCTGAGGACACTAGATAATCACCTAAATGTCCCCATTACTATAGATGGGACCCATTAAAGCAATTAAGATCTAGATATAATGCGGCATATCTTGTTTGATTGCATTTCACTGATGTGTTTTTTACAAGTTGAAGGCAAGACCCTCCACCAGTAAAAAGATTATGACTCAATTTATTGCTACACCCACTTTATTGCAGTGGTCAGGAACTGAACCAGCAATATCTCCAGGGTATGCCTGTATTTGCTCTGTAGAAAGTGACAATGAGAAAACAGAACAGATAAACAGATAAGAAACATCTGGATGTAAAGGTGACACCCTTAGTCTGTTCAGAAACCTCAAAGGAGTAATGAGATGACCCTGAGATTTTAAGAGAAGCATGGCGAGTTTCCATGTTAAAGTAGAAATATGATAAGTGATATTGAAAGTGGGAATATGAAAATAAGTGGATAGCTTTTTTTTCAGAACAAGGAACTTGGTAATAAGGCAACTACCTGCTCTATTGTACCCAAATATAATGAAAGACCCTCCTCTGGGCACAATCATTCATTGTCTCAGTAGGATTGTATTCAGTTGCAAGTAAAAGAATGCTAAAAAGTAGGAATTAATTGGGAATTATTTCTCATACTTAGACACCTGGACTTAGGCAGTTCAGCAGCTTCAGTCAGGTAGATATGACAGTTTCTGACATTCTTGGGCCTTCCTCATGTTTGCGAGATGGCTATCACAGCTCTACTCTGCCCTCTGCACAGACATCCCACAGAGGAAGGAAGTGGGCTTAGCTCAGCAGTATTTTCCCCTTATATGACTCTAACACCATATCAAAATGGAAAATCATTCATATAAGTTACCAGAAGAGTTACCTATATATTTCATTGGCCATAGATTTCACTGGGTCACATGCCCACCCATTGGCAAAGGGAAATGAGATCGCTAGGACTAATTTCTAGGACTGATGGTTACTTAGCTCCCAGGCTGTGTACATCGCCATTCAGCCAAAATTTAGCATTATTCAGCCTAGGAGAAACTGGGAGTGGATGTTGGGTAGAAAACATTGATTTCTGCCACATTCACTCATCCCACAAAAGCTTATTGTCTCCCATGTTCCCGAGGGCCCCACTGGGTGCAGAGAGGTATAACCACAAACAAGACAAACCCACTCCCTGTTCCCAGGAAGCTCACAGACTACAAAGCCATTTCTCTCTTTATTATGCCTTTCATGATTCCAGATATTTGTACCTGAGGAGCAAAAAGAATGAAGGGATGAAAAGGAATGTTTAGAATTCTGCACACACACCTCCTTGAAGCTGGGAAACCATCCCTTTGATGCGAGTGTTGGGAGCCAATGGATGAACGAGATGGAAACATTTGGCCCTGGGAGGCGAAGGCAAATGATAACAAACACTCTCAGCTGCCATGAAGCTTTCTAAGGGTGGCAAAAGCGGTCAGCTTGGTGAAAGTGCAAGGTTAGAGGAATAGGAATAGCCACTTCTACATTTCTATTCTGTCTCATACTTTTGTAAGCAGTTTCAAAGGCGTAGTACTCTGTGTCGGAGGACGGGCCCATCTCCATGTTATAGAGGAGAAAAGTGGAAAGAGGGTCTATAATTCCATAAGGTAAGTAAGGTGACTCTGGGTTCCCAGCATAGTGAGTGAGGCAGATTGGAATTGAGTGTCCTCATTCCTCCCATGGATCAATGTCATCTTTACAGGGTGCCCGCCATGTGTGCCTAGCTTTGCACTTGGACCTAGGAACAGGACTAGTAGTTATCACTTGCTGTGTGCCAAGCACTACCCTCAGCACCTTACCTGCATTATTTCACTTAATCATAACAGTCTCTATGAGGGAGTTGTCAGTGTGATCTGTGTTTGACAGACAGGAAGTGCAAGCTTTGATAGTAGCTGGTCTGCAGTGGAGCTGGGATTCCAACTCTTGAGCAGCTTCCAACCCTTGGGCCTTATCCCTGAGCTATGGCCCCTCTGGGTGTATAAGTACCTCCGTGGTCTTTCTCTCTTTTTTTTTCTTAAATATATTTTATTGATTTTTTTATAGAGAGGAAGGGTGAGGAATAGAGAGCTAGAAACCATCGACCAGCTGCTTCCTGTATACCTCCCACAGGGGATGTGCCTGCAACCAAGGTACATGCCAATGATCAGAATCGAACCCGGGACCTTCCAGTATGCAGGCCGAGGCTCCATCCACTGAGCCACACCTGTTTTGACATCTCTGTGATCTCTTAATGATCATACTTCTGTGTAGGGGGAAAGGACTACTCAATTGGGAGTTTTCAGTTTCCCCCTAATTGCCTGCTGGTTTGAATATGACGAAGCTGAAAATAGGTGTGTGGGGGGGGGGGGGAGATTGGTGGGGAGGGTGGAGGGGGGTTGTGAAGGACATGAAGCCAGAAGAGACTGGGGGCCTGGGTTTCACATTCTTGAATGACCAGCATTGACTACTCAAAATATACCACAAATTCGACTTCCTCTCCTCTTTTAAAATATCCCTTGATAGATTTCAAAAAAGCAAAAGAGAAAGGAAGTGGCCTGGGCCCCACACTCCAGCAGAGAACCCTGTGTGTCCTGCTCCCTGGCTTTGTCCTCCTCCCTGGCCCTGTCCTCACGCCGCCTCTTACCTCTGTTCCCTCC